TATATTAATATACGCAATTGTCATCGATTTTTAATCAACATTCTCACCGCTGATTTAAATGAGTGAATGAACTGTCAGATTAATGATTAACAAGCGTATCAAAAGGATATTTTATATACATTATTTAATGTTCGATCATTAAAAACTATATAGTATTTCGTGTAAGTTAGATATTATTTGTAATATTGTTGAATTATTAATAATGGGTACTGTTGGCTTCTTCGTCTTTGGGGTACGAAACCCCTCGGAATACTCAGCCCCTCCGCCACGTCAAGGCCGTACCCATCGGAGAGGTTATCATTTACAAAAAGTCATAAATTTTAAAGAAATAAGTCGCGCGATATATGCGCATATACTTATTATTAAAAAGATATTGTTTCGATACACGTTTATGAATAGTTAATCAATCGTTGATGAGCATTTACTTATTATTATATTCATGTGATACGTGGCAACGTTTGACAATCATATTTAATAATGAAGGAAGGAAACGCGAAACGATACGCGCCGCTACCTGTTCGTACGAACGCCGAATAAAGAATGATAACACGTAGAGCGCTCGTAAACACGGCGCGTCATACCACAGTCACGACACGTAAACAATTTTGAAGGCCGCGATATCTACAACGTGTATCAAACGAAATATTCAACAATATTCAACGAATAATATCTAACTAATACCAGACCCTCTACAACGTATTTTGATAACTCAACATTAAATGCTGTAATCGTTACGTTTTAAATGCCCACGATTTTGTGAGACAAGGACGGATAGAGATTGATCGATTTCTCTTTATCTAACTAACTGTCACTCCTGCACATAGCACGGAACAAAACCACAAAATCGTGGACATAGCGCGAATGAGAACCACGCCAATCGTGGACGTTACCTACAGGATCATGGACATTGGTTACGTAGTTTATGGACATAGAGGCGCTTCAAAATAATAAAGTTACAGCTAAATCGCGGACGTGTCCGCTGTCAGGCTTCTCTCTGCTATGACCAAGATTTCCTGACCAAAAAAGTGGTCAACTTTAACGCTTAATATCTCGATTTGCGAGGCAGATCGCCGCGTTTTCCTGCCAGATTCTTTTATTTTGAAACCGCGTCGATTGAGCTCAATCAAAATCAGCTTTTATCAAAATCAGAGGTGACAAGGCTATTTTAAATAATTACCAAAATTTATTCGAATTATGTAATACCATATTATATCCATATTATACCATATTATATACCATATTATATAAAATTTTTCTCGAAAAGGATGTTTTGGAATTTTTGGAACTAGTAGTCCAGTAATATGTCAAATTTCATAATTGTATCAATTTTGGCAGCACTGGTTACAGTTTGTACAAACCGCCGTATTTTCCGGTGTGGCAGGTCTGGCGTGTTATTGGCAAGGTCTTTTGTAGACGCAGGGTGTCGTTGAAACACGTTAAAATAACATTTGCGGAGTAACGAGTATGTATCGAGTAACAGCACCTGTTTGAGCAATTTTCGTGGCTTGACAACGGTTGAAGAGATTGTCTCGTATTATGTTTACAGCGAAACAATACGGCGAGATGGCTGCCCGTTCGATCTTGAGATACCTGAAACCTAAATCCGTGATATTTCAAAGCCAACGATGCGCCTCCTTATCAGGTTTCGACATCCAGCACAAGACTCCTACTATCAGGAAAGTGATGCCCATACCAAAGGCCCACTACGGTGGGAGACACACCGTCACCATGCTGCCTGGTGCTGGTATCGGACCTGAGTTGATGTCTTATGTAAAGGAGGTATATAGATCTTGTTTCATAGATTTATGTTATTTATGCTATGGAGTACATCAGACACAAATTTCTCATCGATCTTTTATCTAAAGCTAATAATACAGCAAAAATTTATATTACATTAAGTTTGTGCTAGAGTTCATTTTATCTTCCTTGCTTGTATTACACATACAAAAATATTCACTTTAAATGAATAATGATGATTACTGAGCGTTTGCTCAATCATTGTGCTTATTAAATGTAACCATAGTTCTTACAGGTCATACAGCATACTATATATTATTATGTTTGTATTACATTACAATGCTGTAATAGTTTGCATGATTGCTATGGTTGCATTTAATAAGCACAATGATTGAGCAAACGCTCAGTAATCATTATTACTCATTCAAAGTGAATATTTTTTACCAGAAATGTTTTAGCTTAAAGCAAAGAGCTAAAAGCTTGCTACACTTATTATAGATTAAACTTTATAGACCTGTATTAAATTTAAAAAATATCAATATAACAATCAGTCAACAACTATGTCATTAATTTATTTTCTGCAATCTATCTTGAAAACATATCTAAGATATTTTACCTAACTAATAATACATTATTTAACACATCATAGAACAAATTAAAGCAATTATCTTAACAATACATTACAAAAATTTTATTAACTTATTTTATTAAAGAAATAGAATTCATGGTTTTTATAAATTTAAGATATTTTTAACATAAAAAATCATGATTTCATATTTTAATAGATATAAATTAACTGATATTTATATTAATCCAATAAATAAATGATTAAAACATATAACATATAATTATTATAATATTAATTAATTGTAATACTGATTAATATTTGTAAGAATCATTTAAAATAAAATGGGACAAAATAATTATACTGTATGTAACAAAATTCTATAAAATCTATTCAAAAAATATATTTTTATACAAGTTCAATGTATTCATGTATGCATAATTGTAGGTCTTTAAATATGCTGGTGTGCCTGTGGACTTTGAAGATGTCGAGATTGATCCAAATGCGGATGACAATGTCGATTTGGATTACGCAATTATGTCGATACGTAGAAATGGCGTGGCCCTGAAGGGAAATATAGAAACGCGCAGCACAGAAGCTGGCGTTATTTCTCGAAATGTCGCTCTGCGAAATGAGCTCGATCTTTACGTGAACGTTCTGCACTGCGTTTCTTATCCAGGCGTGAACTGCCGCCAGAAGAATATCGACATCGTTATAGTGAGGCAGAATACTGAGGGCGAGTATTCCATGTTGGAACACGAAAGTGTCAATGGTGTTATCGAAAGCATGAAGGTTATCACGAGCTCGAACTCGGAACGTGTTGCTCGTTACGCATTCGAGTATGCTAAGAGAAACGGCCGAAAGAAAGTCACGACGGTTCATAAGGCAAACATCATGAAGCTGTCGGATGGACTCTTCTTGGAAATCTCGCGGCGAGTCGCCAAGAATTACCCCGACATCATCCATAACGATATGATTATTGATAATTGTTGCATGCAGCTTGTGTCGAATCCGCATCAGTTCGATGTCATGTTAACGACTAATCTTTATGGCGCCATCGTGTCGAACGTGGTGTGTGGTCTATTGGGCGGCGCTGGGCTGCTAGCTGGTAAGAACTACGGCGATCATTACACAGTTTTTGAGCCAGGCACTCGTAACACTGGAACCAGCATCGCCGGTAAGAACATCGCGAATCCTATTGCGATGTTGAATGCAGCAGTCGACATGCTACGTCATCTAGACCATAAACATCACGCTACCATCATCCAAAATGCGATCAACAAGACTCTCAATCAAGGAATTCATACCCGTGATCTCGGCGGCAGCGCTACAAGCCGAGACGTTGTTGATAACATTTTGAAACATATCAAAATCGCAACAGCTTAAAGAAAAATCAAAAAAGACTGAAAATTTTTATTCTGATCGAAATCTCTTGTAGCAGCCGCGAGTGGCGAATTCAAAATGCATATACCAAGAATCTTGTGATGTGTGATTTCTAGTGAAATAACATAAAGAATGTAAATGTTAAGATATAGCTAGAGCAATTATGATAAAAAAACGTTCCGACAATATAACGTGATGTCTACTGGCTTGAAACTGCGAGAATTTCTCTTTCACAAAATCGTTACTTGATCATTGTTCTTAAATAATTGGTCGGATTTCTATAGATCAATATGCTCTGTAATATATTAGTCTGTTCAATAATCGAAATTTGTAAAATAATTCAATGTACATTATAAGTAGTAGCAGTTCCTAGATAAATTTACCAAATATTGTAATTATCGTCATGATAAGAGTAACTTGTATGAAATGTAAAGTACTTGTTATATTGTATTATTATCATTACAAGAATACTCACCGACACTTGCGCGTCTGTGTAAAAAAATATGATCATAATTTATTAAGTCGACAAATATTCGTATATGCCGCCTTAGTACAATTTTATCTAGTTGAATTTAAAACTTTGACACAATGTAAAATTACACTTTACTGTTAAGATAATCATTACGTTGTAAAGTGTATATATCCCGCCGTATTCGTATAAATAAAATGTATAAATTTACATTTCTCTAAATATGCACTCGATACTAATTCTGCAACAGTTGCAATGCTAATTCCTCATCAGCCTGTAAATCGGCAATATCCGATACTTTTCGTTTCTTCTTTATTTCTTTATGTTCTTTTTGCGTCATCAATTTTCTTTTGGATGGCCTGTAAAAGATAATTATCAAATCGAATTTTCGAATCATTCTTATTTGTAGAGACAAGTAATGCGATTTTTACCTGTGAAACACGCTTTCTTCCTCAGACTCTTCATCTTCTTCAGACTCGTTAACAATTGACGCTTCTTCGTCTCCACTTTGTTGTTTGCCATATATCTTATCTGGATCAGGTAACCATGAGAGATCCGGACCATCATTAGTCTCACTTTCGCTATCATGATTATCGCCTGCATCTTCACCCTCTTCTTTATTTGTCTCAGTCTTTTTAGCAGCTTTCAATTTTCTCTTTTCTTCTCTATGTTTTTCTTAACTTTTTCTCTGAATCTTCGCTTGTCGTATTGATCCTCCTCGCGCAAGACTTGCTTAGCCATCTCGATATTAATACCAGAATCGATTTCATTTTCGTACTGCCGTGCTATTTCCGACATTTTCATCTTGGCAGAATCAATTAATTCCTAGAACATATTTTTTTACGAATAAATATGACAAATTTTATACGATTCTAGAA